TGTGTATGTATGTGTGTATGTGTATGTATGTGTATGTATGTGTATGTATGTGTATGTATGTGTATGTATGTGTATGTATGTGTATGTATGTGTATGTATGTGTATGTATGTGTATGTATGTGTATGTATGTGTATGTATGTGTATGTATGTGTATGTATGTGTATGTATGTGTATGTATGTGTATGTATGTGTATGTATGTATGTATGTATGTGTATGTATGTGTATGTATGTATGTATGTATGTATGTGTATGTATGTGTATGTATGTGTATGTATGTGTATGTATGTGTATGTATGTGTATGTATGTGTATGTATGTGTATGTATGTGTATGTATGTGTATGTATGTGTATGTATGTGTATGTATGTGTATGTATGTGTATGTATGTATGTATGTGTATGTATGTGTATGTATGTGTATGTATGTGTATGTATGTGTATGTATGTGTATGTATGTGTATGTATGTGTATGTATGTGTATGTATGTGTATGTATGTGTATGTATGTGTATGTATGTATGTATGTGTATGTATGTGTATGTATGTGTATGTATGTGTATGTATGTGTATGTATGTGTATGTATGTGTATGTATGTGTATGTATGTGTATGTATGTGTATGTATGTGTATGTATGTGTATGGATGTGTATGGATGTGTATGGATGTGTGTATGTGTGTGTATGTGTATGTATGCGTGTGTGTATGTATGAATGTATGAATGAATAAATGTATGTATGCATGTGTGTATGTCTGTATGTCTGTACGTCTGTATGCATATATGTATGTATGTATGTATGTATGTACGTATGTATGTACGTACGTACGTACGTATGTATGTATGTATGTTTGTATGTATGTATGTATATGCGTGTTTGTGTGGGTGCACACACACACATACCCACATATTATATATATATACATATTATAGATGTATGTATACTGTGCCACTGTGCATATCATTGCACATGCACTTATGTATTCAATTCATTTATTTATCCCTAGAATTATCCTGACTTTCTAAAGTTGGCCGTCGATCAAAGTTGATTCCTGTAGACAAAAAAAAGCACAATATGCATGTATATTCCCAAACAATCCCCAAAACATAGATTACATATCCAAAACTTGTGGGCCGGGGGGGGGGCCAGAATTATAAACTATTCCACTTCAACAGGGTGGACACCACGAAGCCAGCAACTCTTTCACGCCTCTGCGAGAACCAGCGGTATGAGAAGGGCTGCCCAAAGCGCAGCAACGTGACGGTGCATGCCCTGTCACGAATGGCCCCAAGACATCTTAATGGGTTGGTTGATATTGAAAGAGGGAGTTAACCAGCAATCACACCTAGACATTATACAATGGTCAATAGTGTATTAAAAAAATATATACATGTGTGTGTGCATTATAGATTACATATTATATATATATATGTATGTATGTATATGTGCGTGTGTGTGTGTGTGGGTTACATGGCTGCACCCTATGCATGGTCTCGCCAAAGCCCACCCATATCTTGTCAATGTGGATGTGGGCATCTGCCACTCGTTTTCTTTGTATGACTTGATCCGCATGAGAGATCCCACCTGCAAACCCGCCTGGGAAAATCAGCGCTTGTGGCAGGAGGGTTGGACGGTTCGCTTGGACCAGAATGACCCAAACGGGCCGCTGTTGAACGTGCCTGCAAAATGTTCCCCCGGAAATGATGCCAGCCTGCGACTAGGTTTATGACCTCTAGCTGCCCCGGCTGGAAGTTCTACCTATAATCCCAAGTCCTGGCAGTGAATCATGTGCGTCGCAGGCGCAGGCACTTGCACCTGGCAAGTGATGTCGTTAAGGGCCACTTTGGTGGCCCCTAGTCTGCAAGATTCTGCAGAGGTTTTGGTATGTTTTGGTCCTTTGCCTTCCTTTCTCATTGTCATGTTTTTTGAATCTTGAAAACCGTCCAGGGTTTGGTCATTGCTTACATCTTCTGAAACTTAAATCACCATTTCCTGATCTCACTCTCTGGGCCCCTGGTCACTGATTTTCATCCAAGACTACAATGTGCAACAGAGCTCCACTGATGTTTGCCCGGGGACCCACTCCACAATTAGAGATGGGCATCTGCCAAGACATGTCACCAATGAATCGTGTAAGAAACAGGCGCTCACTGACGTGCACCTCGCACTGAATGCGTTGGTGCTTCAGATCGAAGACTTTGATTGCCTGCAAATTGCGAGTTGCAGCAGAATGAAACTCCGCCATCGATCATGTTGATTGATGTTGATTAATGTTGCGCACCGACAAGATCCGACAAGTGCCATGGCCCTGGAACAGCCACTTTAAAACTGAGATGCCACGTGGATCCATCCACCATGGCCTTGTCTGCGCTGGCAGAAAAGAGCCATTGCTCACTCTCATCCACAGCCAGGGCTACGACCTCGGCACACGGTGCACCAAATCCATCTCCGTCTTAACATTGGGTTTTTGGCAACCCCGACACAAATAGAAACCTACAGTAATTTGTTGGTAATTCGGTGTGCATTTCCTTTTCCATCTTTTTTGGATTGATTCAAGAATGGCTATTTAGTGGTATTTCCATTGACATCATTGACTACCCTCTGGTAAACTAACGTAACTATGGAAAATCACTATTTTTAATGGGTAAATCCACTATAAATGGCCATTTTCAATAGCTATGTTAAATTACCAGAGGGATCCAGAGGGTACATCTGAGATACTCTGCGGTCATCGATTCCATCCGAGGCCGCTGGCAGAAGCAGTGTGGGTCACCAAGGGCAAAAGCGATTCCTGGCAGCGGTGGTCCCAAAGTGGCCCAAATATATGATTTACCCTCTGGTAATTTAACATAGCTATTGAAAATGGTGATTTATAGTGGATTTTCCCATGAAAAATGGTGATCTTCCATAGCTATGTTAGTTTACCAGAGGGTAATCCACTATGTACTAAACCATGGCTTCTTGATCTTCTTGGGGCTGTTTCTAATATTAGGTGCACATGCCCAAGTGACAACTTTTGGATTGGCTTGGGGGGTACCTTCCCTCGGGCTCCAAGCATGCCAAGGGCACGGACCGGGGAGCACCCCTTTCGGCTTTGAAGGGAAGCATGCCTGCCATGCAGCTGCCTACTGACCACTTGCCTCTGGGAGGAAGTCTTGGATCACTGCAACTGATCCACTTCTCCAGGCCGTGTGTTCACAATTGTTCCTTTTTCATCCTTTTTCTTTTGAAAGCATGTTCAATATCGCGAACTTGCCAAAACTGTGTCCAGAAAAACAATCCAACATAATCCAACTATACAACATTGACACAAAACCATCTAAAATCATCTGAAATCATCTAAAGCATGTAAAATCATCTAAAACCAACTAAAACAAGCTAAAATTGGCTAGAAACAATACGTGCTTCATGTTTTTCTACATTTAATGTTAATTTTAAGGCTCTCTACCACGGCGCACCTACAGTGCCATCGCTCAACCCGGCAAGGCAGGTGGCCTTGTGATGAAGCGGCGCCAATGGCATGCATCAGCAGATTAATAAACCCTCACGCGCACACGTATCTATCTTATATATACAGTATATATATATGTGTGTGTGTGCGCGCGTGTGTGTGTTTTACTGATTTTACTGCTACACCTACTGTAGATATACAATCACAATCAACCACATGTACGTATATGAAACTACATGAAACATGAGAATATATATATATTGAAGAATTGTGAAGATCCGATCCTTGAGCGGGCCTTGTCCCTGCAATTGGCCATCACCACACATGAGATCAGCGAGGTAAAGCGGTTCCTGAAGGGCTACCAGTTGTCCCATGTTGTCCCAATGGGCTGCCCCACTGCACCGGAAAATTCATGGAAAATTCATGGAATGTGAATGAAATATGAAGGAAATTGACAGATTGGGAGGATCTCATAGGATCTCTGAGGTGCCCAACATGTTCTGCATGGCAAATTTCAACTCTGCCGGGGATTGCTGCCACCTTGGCCACCCCCCTTTTTCCCAATCCATGATGGACAATTCAGACTTGGTGCAACACTTTGCAGTTACAAATACTACAATGATTCACATGGGGATGGGTCAAAACCCTGGTACCTAGTGAACCCCAAGTCATAGCTGGGATTTATGGATGTTCATCCCACTAAAAATGGTATTAATAGGTATTGACCCATACCCACATGGGCCTGCAGAAAAAACATGGTACCGGTGGCCTGACTGATTTGCTCTCTCTAATGGTCCCTTTTCGCATGGGATATGATGGGATCACCTCCGTTCCACGTGGCCCACATAGGAGCAAGCATGAAGCATCCGCATTAAAACACAGCATTCAGCAAGGACTCACAATTTCATCGATGTTGACAGCGCAGCACCAGCATTCCTTGATATTCCTTGCAGTATATTTTGGACATCCGTTTGCAGCTTGGAAAGTGGTGTTGGCAGGTGCCAGTACTAGAATTCGATTGCATGATTCCTCCACTTGGAATGCCAGAAACGTTGCCTGCATGTCAACAACGGACAAGCGCCTTTCCCTTTTGAAAAGAGCAGGGAGTCCTGACCCTGGTGTCGCAAAATTTCGGCACAGCAAGTAGCTGAGGAACGCAGGTTGAAATCCCTGGAACGCTCAGTTGCTGTAAAATGTTGTGAATACTTGTGCAGTGCAGGAAAGGAAATGGATCCAGAAGCCGCAGCACACTTGAATTATAGAACAATTCAACTAGCGAAGTTTAGGTTCCACACGCAACAAAATTTCTGTCGTGTAGTCCTGGAATATATTTGCAATGCTTTAGACAGGAAAACGCTGCAAACTACCCAAATTATTCGTGGACATGCACAGTTGTGAATGCTGCAACTCACATAGCGTGCCCAGTACATTCCAAGAACTGCTCACTCAGCAAGCTACTCCCTTGCTGGCAATAACTAAGAATGCTTTGACAGCATTGCGCGCAGGCATTCGGCTGTCGGCAAGATCGACTGTTTCAATCGCCATGGCCATACCTTACTTTGCCTCTTTAAAGGCTTCTACCATCTGTTTTCGATGCGTTGCATCAAGCTTCAACAGCTTCAGCTGAAAATCTTTGGACCTAAGCTAGGCTGGTTCTTGCTTGGAAACATCAGAAACGAAGAGATCCCTGTTGGTTTGAACAAATCTGGATCACTTTCCCAGATAGGATTGAAAAACAAACCGCCGATAAAACTTTTAAGTTCAACATAGTTCAACCGCCCAAAAAATGGCAAAAAACCACCCGGCACCCACCTATTTCACTTCACCAAATTTGCTGAGCCAACCTGGAACCTCATTGGCTCCAGGCAGAGCACACTTCACAAAAAATCGGGAGCCACACTGTCCATAGAGTGCCACGGCAGACAAGAACACCTCGGGCTCTCCTAAAGAGTCACCTTGCGGCGCTTGGATGTACTTGGCCCACAGGTGGAACAAATCAAAAAGGAATGGAAAGCAACGAAGGAAGACGGTTCGGCTGGCTCCACTGTGGTTCTTGTCAAAGGGCCAATGTGACAAATGAACGGTTCAAACATGTTCAAACATTGCAAACCATATCTATTAGTAATATCTATGCATACGCTAGCAGTGTGATATCTAGTGACCGTGTGAATTGCACCATGCATCTATGGTCGGCATCATTTTACATCGAAGAAAATGTAGGCAGCTGCAGGCTGGGAGGTTTCAATGTGAATGCCGGAGCACAGCTGCGCTGTGATTGCCACATATTGCCACTACTCAGCGCAAAGTCTCATGGATCGATCAGAGTCCATCTCCATCCATCTCCACTGGTCCCATTCTGATGACCCAAGGAATTTGATGATCCAGGATGATCCAAGGGACGGTATTTTGCCAGCACCTCCTGTTCCGATGCTTGCGAAAGCAGGGCTATAGCAGAAGCAAGCTCCTCACGTCGAAGATTGGTGGACGTTCGTAAATCCTGGAGTTTCCAGGGTTCTAAATCGGTAATATTCCGGAATTGAATAAAGGCGAGGGGGAACAAACTTACCGGCAACCCGGTTTCATCATTATATCATCTATAGTTTAACTGTATAATTATGTAATAAATCATATCTATATCTATATATATATTATATTAATATATGTGTGCACTATTATGCCATGTTCTTTCCCGGGAAACAAATTCAACGAGGCCCGTGTGGATCCTCCTTGCTGAACTGGCGACCTGAGAGGTGCGCGACATGCGGAGCCGCCCGTTGTTGAACACATGGGTGGGGTAAATTTAGCGGTGATTTAATGGGGATTTCATTGGAATATGGTGAGGGTTTAATATGATTTAACCAACGACAATAGGAATACAGTGGGAATATCATCCCAACTGATGATATCTGGTGGTGATCCATCCCATAGTGGCAATCCCCGCACCGGGGTTCTTTTGACACATCGCTCGTGTTCCTACTGCGTCTACTGACCTGCTACCCCTCAAAGTGGTAACATGCAACATTTGCAATCTTTTCATTGGAGCGTGGGTTAAAATATATGAGGACTGCAAAGATCTGTGGGGGGAACAAATGCATTCCCTTAGCCTTAGAAAAACTCATTTGACCAGGCGGGACTGTCATCGCTTCAAAACCATCAAATTCTGTTGTACTCTGGGTGTTAAGGCTGTCACATCTCCAGAAAATGCACATCTCCCCATATCCCTCAACACCTTTCCTGTCTGGGTTCTAAGCTACCTTAATCGCATGCAACATGCTAGACAACACGCTGGACAACATCTTCCATTGGTCTACCTTTCGGTGCATAGCAAAGGGTAGCCTTCCTGCTACACAACTTGCGGTGCAAGGAGCCGCGGGTTTGGATTGAGAGTTTCTTGGCTTTCTCAATCTTCCTCGGAGACAGCAACCCAAAAACAACACCGGGTGTGGTCCAAGGCTACGCAGAGAAACTACAACGACATGAATGGGGTGTGGACGCCTGAAAGAAAAGATAGAAAAGGTCAAATCGGGCAATTCTGGACATCTTCTTTGCCCTTAAATTTTGGACTTACCCCACATCAGTAAAAGTACGGCGCGGTGCAACCAAAGTTTCAGCGTTTGCATCTCGCTATATACCTCCAGCCTCAGCCGAGTGCACACGAATGGTCAGTCCCCAAAGAACCTCTGCATATTATGGATGTCTACTATCTTGCTATTCAAAAATGAGGGGAGGTTGCGGCAACGATTGCAACAATCAGCTCACAGTTCACAAGTTGCAACGTCTCATGCAGTCACGTGGGATCCACAATCAGAAGGATTGGGGCTACTATCAGGTTCGAGACTGCATAACTTGGTGAATCTTCAACCATTGAGCACCTTCAAGTCTTTCTGGATGCAACAAGTATCGTGGCAAATTACCTTCTATTTCACAACTTGCACGGCATAGATTGGTGAAATATGCCAAGTCGCTTTTTGATGCTACCTAACATGCACCTATCTATACAAATAGTTGGTTCAACAATTTTAACATGCATGTTTTAACATGGTTTTAACATGTACTAACCTCGAATACGAAAGTGCCTCGGTTGTCACATGATCCCAGGATGGACGACATTGGACCTAGAACTGTGTGCCCGACACACGGTCCTCCGACAACTCTGGAGGAATTTCAATTCCCGGAAGCATAGGCTGCACACCTGCGACTCGGGGCTAAGTAAACAAAGAGATGAACCAGTACCCAACGACACTAACATATTCTAAGCTCACAAATTGGAAAACGATCCAAAATGACTAGTGTGAATGTGTGAACCCAAGGACAAGGCGCATCCCACAACCGCTGCTATTTAAACTTCTTTCAACAACAAAATCTTTGAGCGTCCAAGCCGAGATAGGCGCAGCATGTCATAACAACTGAGAACACAAGTTCACTTGCCCAGAGCTTTTGGGCCCAAGGCCCACAACAGCATCTCTTGATGAATGCCCATGGTTTTTACATCAAATTAGCTGGCAAGAGGATGTTCATCCCCCATCTTTGTCTTTCACGTGCCTCCCTACTCAGCCATTGAACCCAACTTAAATGGTGAAAGCAGGGATTAACTCCTCAAATGTCAATTTTGATAGAGAAAAATTATGATGAACCAGTGGATTTGGGGATTTTTCCTGTAAATTTTCGGAAAAAACAAGTGCTGCGCCTACCTCCAAGTGCTTCCTTCATCATCTTCCGGACATCTTCCTGAGCTCATCATCACAAGCAAATACCATTGACAAAGCATGATGGTACTTTTGGATCGCTTGGATCTGTGTCTCGGACATAGGGTAACATATCTATATTGAAATATGTTGCCATTCCAACATGCGGGGTGTGGGTCCATATGGGTCAACGATTTAGAGCCAGTTTTCCTGGATCAAGTCGTTCACAGGAGCTGGATATGCTCCAGTTCTGCTCCTATGATCGGGGGGGCAAAGAAATTAGATTCAACAATCATGTTGATCGATGTTAGCGTAATTTTCCCGATCAAACTGCCCAGTTTTGGGGATAATTCCGCATTTTCAGACACGCCCAACCATCAATTACTATCATATCAAGTTGTGAAAGAAGGATTACATATGATTATGTATAAAGACACTAATTCCAATGATATTTATTAAATTTATTGATATTTCATGACATTTCCATTACTATCAACTATCTATACACCTCACCTTCCACCCATCTGCCGTGCATCTGCGTGCTGCTTCACCTCCTCGGCGCTCTCGTCCGTGACGCAGGCGATGGTCTCTTCGCTGCAGCCGAAGGATGTGAGCACTTCGGCCTGCCGAGCTATGGAAAAGCCATGGGAAACGCCATGGAAAACAGACATTTTTCATAGGAAAACCATGGAAAACCCATGAAAAACAAACAAAATTTTGAAATCACCGCAATTTACCTTAGAACTTAGAACTCATTCCATTTTTCTTCGACAGCTATGAATTGCTATGAATACTAGACAGTGGTCGGTTCCTAGAATATGTGGCAAATGATTTGCCGGGTTCAGTGGTGCGATCTTCTGCAGTTACCAGTGGCGCTTGTGGTGGCAATGTGGTCAAGAAAGGCCGCCTTTTCCGCCAGGAAACATCTTTTCAGTGAATGCCCACAGGCTAGGAACCTCTAAGACTATCTAAGACTCTAACATACTCTAACGTTCTTTGAAGCATAGGCCACAAGTAAATTTTCACCCCAGGCTGAAGAAGTTCGACATCGTGGGTGCTGTCCCGACCTGCACAGCCTTGAACCTCTCTGCGATTCGACCTCGAGTGGGATGCACCAATGCCACAAGTCATGTTGTGAAGATATAGGGTTGTCTGAAATAGTGTGCCCATGTGTAGCCCAAAACCCAATGGTTAATCATGCGTTTCCCTATTCAATGGCTATCATTGGAGGTATTCCCTATTTTCAGACACACCCCATATTAGTGAAGAGGCCAAAACAAACTCAAACAGCGAGATTTCAATGTGAATCAATCAGCTCCAACTACTGGGAGGCCCAATACTATCTTTCATTAGGTTCTACCTTCCTCCAGCAAATTGTTTCACTATGTTTGACGCCTTGGGGTCTACCATAATAGTCACTAGTCTAAACCCTTGCATGTTTTGGGGACCGATCACCACTATGCCACAGCATTCCTGTTCTCAGTTGCAGCCTCAAGCATGGAGCCGGGTGTCTGGCATTCTACCGCAAGTTCTTGTCCTGTTGCGGACAGGCACAGGGTGCCATACCCTGCTGATGTTTGCTGCTCATATGAGCCAATGGATGCAATAGAACATGATAAAAAATTCTGGTGATCACCACTCTTGCCAGAAAAAAAAACGTGAAACCGTACAATGCGCCTATATAATTACATCTATTCGTTGCAATAATACTTAGGAAGTTTGTTCCTGACATGTCTTGGACGTCATTTCTTGTGTCTTTGATGCGTTCCCTTATGTCAGACCTACAGCTGCCGCCAAGCGTCTTAGCTGCTCGTCGTCCACCCGCACGCCTTGTGCTTGCAACTGTGACCGCACGTCCTGCGTGAAACCAGCTTCGATTTTCTGTTTACGGTTCTTGCCCAACTGCTCCGGGACCAGTTAAAAGTGAGAAGCTCATAGAACCGCTTGAGGAGCCACCCGAAAACAGCATAAAAACAGCTCAATCCACGGCCAGGCCTTGGCAATGTGCGCCACATCACGTGCAATGTAAAAGAGCTTTCTGCGCAGCTCTTTCAAGACTTTCGCCAGCAACTCATCCTGCCGGGGGCCCAGGGGCAGGGGGATCCGGGTCCGCCAGTCATGGCCTGGGAAGTTTGATCGGAGTTGAGTGTTGGTTTTTTGTGGAAGCGTTTCACTTTGACTGCTTGTTCCCAGTGGATTTCAAACAAAAAGGATCAACTGCTTGTCCTAATCAACTGGAATATCTACATGTGGGGTTACAATCCAACAGTCCCAATACAGCAAGCCCATGATCACCCCAGCATCCATCATCCATCATGATCCCGTCGCGTCCACCTTGGGACTACTCCCAATATGATCCCTAGCAGAACAACCCATCATATTGGGAGTCATCCATCATCATGATATTGCAATATGACTGTATATCATATATGTATGAGTCATGATATATCAATTGACTGATATATCATATATACTCCCATATATATATCATGTATATTGTCCATCATCATACATTTAGTCCTCCAGTCAATCAGCCATTGAATATCAGGAAAAATCACGGCGTGTCATCATAGTACATCATCCATGAATGGGATTAGTTGGGGTGATCATCAAAATATCATCCGGTCATTAGTTCGGGTCAATCATCCATATTGATCATCGCTTGAAGCATAGTCACTCATCAAATATCTACCATCTGGTTATTTAACAGTTCGCCATGGAAAATCACCATGCTACTAATAGGTAAACAAACCATCTATTTCTATGGGCCATCTATACCATGGCTATGTTAGTCATAACCAGATGGTAACTGGGATTATCATTCAAATCATGGTTATTTTAACAGTTCGCCATGGGAAATCATAGACCATGGTAAATAACCAAATGGCAAATGGGATTATCCCATTAATCATTAAATGGTTATTTAACCATCATGGACCCACCTCTTGGCTATCATGCCACCATTTAACATCATTTACCATGGGAAATCATAGACCATGGGATTAATATGGATTAATCATAACATGTTAACATGGAATGTTAATCCCATGGCTCCCATGGCCCATCATGGACCATCATGGAGCCACCTCTTGGCTATCAGGCCACAGGCTCCAGGTCGTCAAGGCCACCGCCCCGGTAGCAACCACCAGGGCTGCCAGGCGTACTGTCCTGAGATCTGGCTACACCTGGAAAGTTCTGACATCAATGGACTGGTTTAGAGGAAAACTATGGAACATTTACAGGGAAAACTAGGGAAAACCCCTATATTCAATGGGAAAATCGATGGTTTCCGGTTAAGATCTTCCAAACGAAACCAATCCATTGATGAAATGAATCACCTGATGGCATGTAATTCACTAGCCACTGGAGAAATGACTAAGAATGTTTACTAACCTGTAAATAGCTAAAATAAAGCCATTTGTCCAGTGAGGTCACTATAATTGTTTATCCAGATACCATACCATGGTTCATACTTGGGTGTGCAATTGAGGTTAATTATACGGGATACAACCATGGTTGTAAACCCCATAAATTGGGATACAACTGCGCAACTATGGTTGTGTATTGGCTTGTACACTCCATTACACTCCCAAGTAGTGATTTGTGATATCGAAGGATAAGCAAAGTATATTTACTCGCAACGGTCATATGATGGCGATATTAACATCTTGCCTGTATGTCTTGTTGGGGATTGTTGAGGATCACCTTAAATTAAAAAGTATCCCCCCCCAAAAAAAGTATGTAAAGACGTAAAGATATGATGCGGGAATATGTATGATGTATGAAATGAGATCGTTGTTGCAAGTTCAGTTTCCACCTGGCAAAACGTCATACCCGGGCCATTTCGGCGCCAAGAGACCGCGACCAGCCGGAGTCGTGGCCACCGACATATTTATCTTGGAACCTGGGAGCCGGATTTGGGACCAGGGGGTCACGGTATATCTGTAGTTTATGGACGAAATCCTCTACAAATGGGACATGTTTGTAATCATTTTTGTGATACTAATGGGATATTAGCCAGTGGCTTTGATAATCCCATGTTTTCCTTGCCAGAATCTTGCAAGGAAGCACACTGCATCTGGAACAGTGTGGGGAAGCCTCCTCGTCTGCGCTTCCCTTGCCCATGTGCTCCACCACCCCTTGAGGCAACTGCATTGTGCCGGAGGAGTGCAGTCTCAAAGAGAAATCAGCTGAACTTGAGCAACAAAAGGGTATCAAAATGGTGAGAATTGCGCCGCATCATCTCTCAGCCATGGTGGAAGATGACTGATCACAAGCAAATTGGGCTTCTGCTGATATCAATTTAACTGATGAGCGATCCTGAATGATCCTGATGGTTACGCATGGAAGATGACCACGTGCCACGTGCATGACATTCTCTGTCGGAGCTATATACTGCCTCCAAATCACAGCACATCTGCATCCCAGGACACTACTGTGCTAAGTTGCAGGCACTGACATTTGAGAACTGGGCAAGTTTGGAGCTTTTTTCTCCCAAGGCATTTTGATATTCCTGGCTCACTGGGTCTGTGAGGCAACTGTGACTCGAGATATCTCGAGATACTCGAGTAGAACAAATCCTACAACACAAGATCTTTTCCTCGTTTCACGAAACCTGGGGCAGAAGCATGGAAAAGCAACAGCCTCACCAGGATAAACTTCACCTTCCGTCCCACCCTGCGCTTGCCATGAAGGAACCCATGGCAGAAGCACGTGATCTTGGTATCTACACCTCAAAAGCTGAAACTGTTTCTGCAGACCAACGGCATGTGATATCCTGATCAGTCCACAGTCATCCATACTCAGATGTGCACACCATACAGTGGTCAAGAACCATCAACCCAATGAAATAGATAGTTACAACAACCAACCATTTAACGACCATAGGGTTGTATATGATTATATGTATATGCGTTTGCCTGAAAATAGGGTAGCACCTCATGTCTCTGCTCGCCATGCTTTCTTTGTTCATGGGATGATGAGCAAGGCAAGCTGCTTACCCCTAAATCCAATGGCAAGTCATCATTTTCCCTAATTATGAAAATTGCCTCAACATCCCAATTTCATCATGATTTTCCCTATGGAAACCCCCAATTTTCGGACACCAGCGGACACCAGGCTGCCCTGCGAGAAGCCCAGGAAAAATCACTGGAGCCCATCAATAGCAAGCCTTGCACCTTTGGCGAAGAGATCTGTGCAGTTTGGGAATCTAAAATGTCCCAGAGATGTTTATATAAATGCAAAGACCGTAAATTATATGTTCAAGGATGTTTGAAGGGTTTGATTTACGCAGAATTGAGATAATTCGACGAGCTGGTCTAAGGGTGCTTCATGGAAAATGTAGGATAAGTAAACCCTGGATACCCTGATAAAACACCATGGAACTACGGGGCTTTCTTGCCAATGTTCACTTCAACCAGGTCTAATTACCCTCTATTGGAATCCGTTGTTTTGACCCCTACTGTAAAGCATCATTCCTGTTTGCAGCGGTGGTAAAATATATGGGTTCATCTAATCCAACTCTTGACCATGGCACACTTTATCAATTAGCAAAAGCGAGACCGTTGCGTGCGCGTCTTTGCTGTAGTGACCCTAGTGACCATACATAAGTCTTTCACATATCATAGACTAATAAAGGTCATAATGGTCATAGAGCACCCTCTTAGCTCCCCAAGTCTCCTCAACATTCATGTACGGCATATTTGTTACCATAACTTTATGCCAATATATGGCCGTGGGATCCCCATGACACCATGTCTAAAGGCGCCGGGTCATAGTCGAAGTGGGCAATCCCAAAGGATGCTTCCTGCACTTCGGCTGACTGCACCTAAGGCCGATCAAAAAAGGATCCAACATGGCTTAAATTGGAATGTGGGGTGATGGCTGACATAAAGCATCAACACGCATCAACTACTTTTATGCTTTGGGGCTCTGGGTGACAAACTTCAGCTTCATGGGCTTCATCGCGACTGGACATGGGCCTCCGACAGGCTCTGATGCATCTGGGTGGGCCAAATATGGAACCTCAGCGGACAGTGGAGCTTCACTTGCACGACTTGGCCGCTTTTTTGTTCCTCAGTCAAAATCCACATTAGATTCTATAGATTGATACTGATTAGATCTAAATCGTTCGAAATGCTATATAATCTAATCAGTATTAATCAATCTATAGAATCTAATCAATATTAATGAAACCTAATTCTGGGTCTGGAATGTCGTGTGATCAAGTTTGACTCTGTTTGACCCAGAAAAAGTATTAATGCTACTGCTGCCTGAGTCCAACTCTTCCAATGCCGCTATCGCATGCTATCGCATGCTGATTGCCACTGAGTCACACGTTGTCTCAACAGCAAGAAATCTTGAACTTCACGGCAGTTCACGGCATCCCGCCTGGCATGGAAATGGACCCCCAACGGTGTTGGTCGCTGCTCAAATTGGGGCATTGGCCAACAGTAAATTGGGATGTAAACCAACAGCAGCGGGAATATGCCTCTGTTACAGTTGGAAAACCAAAAGTTACATCCATGGCTCATTCCCGCATATCAATACCGCGTCTGACCTGACCATAGAACTTAACCCGATCAGGAGACTATGAGTGGATATTGATTTCTTCACAGCAGTCGTCGTACACCTCGTACACCAGCCTGCTGCGGTCACCACACACCGCGTATCTCGTAATAAATATATACAAATACGCAGTCGGCTACAAATTTAAGGATTTGCCTGCGAAAATCTGATCTTTGAGTCTTTGATGCACTCTGAAAACCAACCTAGCTTAACCAACTGTGCAACCTGGTCCAAAACATTCCAAAACCGTGCATCTTTTTCGCAATTTGTGTCCGTGTCTGATCTGGATTCTCATCCCGCAGGAAATCCTCTCCGCGCAAGTTCCAGGGGACGCTGGGACCCCACCCAAAATCCTGCACCCCCGGTGGCCTTATGCACACTTGCCTCAGGAAGTCACTGAGCCCGTTCTTCCTTTGTTCCAAGTATTCAGGCGCAAACCTCAGGAGCTACAGGGGCACAGCATAGCACAGCTGGTACAGTACAGACCCGAACAGCTTGAAACCTCCAACATCCACAGCTACAGCGCAAGGTTTTTGAGCTTGGGACTGCCGTACCACTGACCTCAGGCAGTTCCAGCTGCAGCCAGCTGGAGTTCGCAAGGCTGGTCAAGCCGAATCAAACCCACGCTTCATCACTTCCCTGGCCAAACATGGGACGCGGTAGAGAAGTTGGTGTGCCTGAAGGCCCTGCAGGAAACTTCTGAGCTCCCAACTTGGCGGGCATCATTGGGATGGACGCAAGTCTCTTCTTCAACACCTCAGGTGAACAGAGGCTGCTGGCTGAACCCAAAATGAACAGCCCCTTCTCAGCGCTACAGCAGACGAGTCGTGAAGGAACCCCCTCCATGAATCACCCTTGCCACATGTCACAAAAGGATTTCTCTGGAACCTCGGTTGCCCTTCCCCTTGGGGTACACGCCTCGTATAATGCAGCAAATTCGTTGTAACGCTTCGTGATTTGCCACGACCTCAGTGTTTGGGATCGTCAGTTCCATGCTGTCGCCTCTTGGAATTCTTGCAACATCTTGTACGAGTAACATCTTGTAACACCTTGTAACACCTTGTAACATCTTGCAACCGTAGCGCTGCTTCAGCCGCTATTTGTGCTTGACTTCCAGTCTTGCTCCTATGCGACCCCAACTTCAAACCGCGGTGATCCGTGGTGACTAGGTTGCAGACTGTCCTTCGAAAGAGACCCGAATAAGGTATTCCTGAGCCGCCCAGGGTCATCGAACGTTAGCCCTAGCAGTTCTTTCCTGTGTAGCAGGGTATCCTTTCTCGACCACAGTTTACTCCGGAAATCTCTGGCGCAGGAAAAGGGATCGAGCTTCATGCGGTTTGATTCTGAACTCCCCTCTGAAGGCATATCATATCACATACTGAAGCATGATTGTCTCTTCCAATTTCCATGCACTTTGTGTCACATGAAACATATATATATATATAATTATACATAAGTTTGCCTGAAAATAGCCCCAAAAGTCCACTGGTCCTCATCATTTTCCCCATCCTTTTCCTTTTCCCTATCATTTTAGGGCCATTTGGATCCCCCTCCAGATATCTCCAGATCCACTAACTGGGCTCCACTAGGGCTCCCTGCCACGTGCTGCCCAGTCTTGGCCAAGGAGACCCTGGCCTTCACGGCATCAAGGCCTTTACTGAGGACATCTTGTCCGCTACCAGCATCCACCACCTGAAATCCTCGGTGAAACCCCACCGGGATGGGGGTATGGAAAGGTGGCAACCTCAAGCTGCGATAGAACCTGAAACCACCATGAAACAACCATGAAAAATGGATTCAAAATGATTCAAATGGTTATATTCATTAGAAACCTGGGCTATATAGCTATATTCATGACATCTCTGTCTTCACGCTATTGAGTTATGTGTTTGCGGGTGTTGGTCTGGGCCCATCACACAAGATATGTAGATATGCCATGTATGCACTACTGTACTACATCCATCTTTCAAACCCATCCCCGCTGTCCAGCACTTGTTGTGGCACTTGTGTCCCGTTCAGGTTGGTCATTGTAAGCCCATCCCTAGGAAACTACCTTACTTGGGCAGCTATTGATATTACTTAGCCCTAATAGGGATTGCACATAACACACATCTGAAACAAGTGGTCAACTGGCCGTTTTCCTACCCACCTGCTAAAACCACCAATCAACTGCAATTGGGTGCTATTCATACCATTGTTTATTTCACCCCCACATGGTAAGTGACGATGTGATCTGTTTCCCCATGTTTCCCCATGGTTCACAAATGTTTACCACATTGCCAATGGATATCAATGGCATAAATACACACACATAAATAAATAAATAAATAAATAATAAATAAATAAATAAATAATAAATAAATAAATAAATACATAAATAATATATATATATTCTATACACATCTCATAACGGTCATCTATTGCTGGTAAGTCCTCATCTATTTAATGTTTAAACATCGTGTCTGTTGAATATTAATTGATTGGTTAAACCATCCGAGGCCCAAGCGCTCCACCCAGGCTGTAACTGGCACCTGGCTCGGGAACGAGTCATGGCCGACGATGGTTAAATTGACCCTTTTCGACCCTGTTTTTTTGACATATTGTGACATATTGTTTGAATATGGAGCCTGATGGAGCCTGAAAATTCATTGATTATATTATACTGATTGAATATGAATATGATTGAATGCGGTTTTCTCCGTTTCCTATGATTTTCTATGTGCATCTGCCGTCCGAGTCCCTGACCCAACCTGAATTACACGCCTTTCGCACCGATGATCAACAAATCCTGGATTCCCTGGCCTCCCGTCCAACTTTTTGGACCTTGGCCATGCCGCCTGCGTGACACAGGTACGGCTGGATATATCCAACAGGAGCTGAAGATGCTCGTTTCAGAATCATCACTTCTTAATCTTCTTAGTAGTCCAGGACCCAGGAGCTTGCTTCAGCTGATTTCAGCTGCCAGTGCACGCAACGTGGGGGACTTGGAATAGATTCAAACCAGTTCAAACTACGGTGTTGAAGGATGCAAAGATTGCAAAGTGACTTGCAGATTATCGCAATCACATTCTGAAGTTTGACAGCATTTGACCTGCCTCAGGGTTGGTTCTTCGCCCCCGGCTGCACAAGTACTAAGCTGTGCCGCAATGGCCGCGGGGACCCCTGACATCATATGATCATGCTCAAGAACAGTTTCCAATGACGTGGTAGCCATACTGTATGGAATCAGAGTTAAAGCAAAGGTTTGACAATTATGAATGGTACCATCTGCATGAGCATGATACAGTCAGAGTTTTGCACTGTTTTACTCCGTGTACATGTAGTAAGATCATCAAGGACTGATGCGGGGAGCTCGCCAGCATCACCCAAGGGAACTTCAGAAGCTTCTTCGAACACACATTTGAAGAACGCCGTTTTCTCGGGGTGCCAACATGTGTCAACTTGAAAATCGATTCTCCAGTTTGGAGCCATCCTGGAGGGTGGCTGTTTCACCATCCCCCTGGGACATCATTAACCATCACGGTGGGGCAGCGACTTCGCCCGGAGCGCCACGCGGGCGCAAGAATAGCAGCTGCAGGGGCCGTTGCTTCATTAAGTTGAAGAAGTTGTCGGCCTCATGGCAACTGTCAGTGCAACTGATGTATTTTCCCATGGGTCTAGGTAAAATCATGTGGAAGTGAAGTGCTATGATTAGCATCTCCATCTCTCTTGATCCCAAGTCCAGGCTATGGAAGTGTGCTGCATTTTCTTATTAATTGATGGAAAACAAAACCCTACCAGCAACCACAGGATACCACAGGACTGGCTGCGAAACCATGGCACCCCCCGGGACCGGATTTACCACAGGGCCTCGATCGAGCCAGTATGCAATCCATTCACGCACAGCAACCTGCTTCCCTGGCAGCGAGTTGTGCCAGGGAGCCTTCGTGCCCAGGTTCCAAGCACTTGAGAGGCTATGACTTCAATGCAGATTCTATGGGTGTTTGATGGTTTTTGGTTCTATGGAATAGCCACAGATGATGAAGATCAGATAAACATCCAAGTTAGATACTGTTGATGATACATAAATATGCGTTAATCACCGTGAATCTATCTATCTACCTATCTATCTATCCATCCATCTATCTATCCATATGTCTATCTATCCATCTGTTTATCTGTCTATCTGTCTATCTGGCTATCGATCTACCTATCTATCATGATCTATCTATCTATCGATCGATCTATCGATCTATCTGTCTATCTATCGAATCTATCTAGTAAATTCCAGTAAAACACTAGCAGTAAGGTCTATGATCTTCATGCATGCATAATCACATGAATGGGCACCAAGGCCATGAACGCTCCAAGTCCCGACTCTGCGTGCACCTTGGGCAAGTGGAGCGCCTCTGCAGGGGTTCCAGGAGTAATCCTTTCCACGACCAGATGGCCAGCAGGCGGCAAGATGCGGAAGGCGATGCCTTGGCCAGTTCCACTGCAGGACCCTGCTGCCCAGCGGCGACCTGGCTCTGAAAAAAATGCACCAACATTTTTTTCAGATACACCCATAGTTATGACAGTTATGAGATGGAATTTGCATGAATTTGACAAATTAATCCTACATCCATATCCCATAGGATCCATGTATGGTATATATGCTAACATTGGGGGTATATTGATGGTAAATGTTACCATATATAGCATACATGGATCCTATGGGTATGGTATCATATGGATTCATATGGTATGACAAGTTTTGACCCATTCCCATGTCATTGGCGTGTCGCCAACTGAGGTTTCGACCGATTTTTTCTTCGTGATGTGCCACTTGGAATTCGACGACATCACAGCTGTTGTCACCTGGGAACTTCTGGAAATATCAGCTGGTCATCACCAAACCAATCTGATGTTTAATGACGTTTAATTAATGATGTTCACCTGTCCTCGGCTTGTATGATCCAGTTTCTTCCAGACTTTGAATATCCAGCAGCCTGGGTATCAGAGCCCCACCAAACCATAGAAAGGAAACGAAACCCTACAGATCCCTTTGAGGCCGCAGACCATATCCAGCCAACCGGGCATGTTCCAGCAAGTGCTGCGGCAGCTGCACTGGACGGATCAAGCTACCTCTCTTCTGCCTAGAAGGGTTACGCAAGGTGGTTTTGACTGCCCGGAATTTTGCAAGGTAATTTGATGTAATGCTGTGAATCTATCCTAAATGTCACTAAAATTTGCTAAACCTCCCTCCGTAGTCTGCTGGTAGAGATACGGTAGAGATACGTAACATATTTAAGATGGAAGGGTAGCAAACCCAACGCTTTCTGGCTGTGAAGTAACCATTTCCTGCCTTTGCATGCCCCAGTTCTCTGGCATTGGAACATCTTCATCTGATTCTGAACCATCTGCTTCAACGGCTTCTGACTGCTCATGGGACTCATGGGCTTCAGCCTCCACCACTGGTAGATGATCTTGGCCAGGCCGATCAGTCTGACCTTCACAGGCGATTCCTTCATCGCCTTCATCCAGAGGTGTCGTTGTCTCAGTCTGGACCTTTGACTCTTCCGACACTTCTGTTGGTGGCTGCTGGTGTGACTCTAAGAGGTTGAGGTCTGCGATTGAGTCCTGCAGGGGGATACAGTGGGTGATGGTAGAAAAAGAAAAATATACAGTACAATACTCGGTGGCTTTGGGTGGTCCATGACCATGACAACCATATGCTTGGCCATCCCATCTGGAACATCTCCCGCAAATTCCCTGCAATCCTGCTCAAGCGCCGCAGAGCACTCAGCAGAGCTATCGCCGTGAAGGCAGGAGCTGGATGGATCAACCGTTTCCATGGTCTCTTCATTCTCTTCCTGCCAAATGTGACAGCCACGGTTTCCATCGGCAGCTTTCTCCAGGGACGGTATCTCCACCTGGCTGCCGTCCTTGTCGTTGGATGGACCTCGGACGGGCCATGCTAACAGACCTTGAGAGCTGCACGGGTCTCCCACACACACGCACTCTCTCTCTCTCTCTCTCACCCCTCTGTGCACATATATGCAATGTGTGATTGTGTGATATGTGTATGATCAACGATGGAGATTGAGATGACATCCAACTCAATAATTAAAGGTAAGTCAACAGGATCATACACAGAAACATGGTGAATTTGAGGGTACTATGATGTACAATCAGGGTCACTCAATAGATGTCATCATGCGACCGTCCATTGAGCGTCCGGTGGCGGTCTCGCCTGCTTCGTGGCCATCGGCTTCCTGCGGCACATCGCTTGACGTGTCGTCAGCACCTGGGCAGCCGGGACCGATTGATGAAAGGAGCAAGGGCAGGATGCACTACTTATCACTACTTATTTAGATGAAAATGATGAAGTAATATGAAGTAAGGATGAAGTACTATACCCACTCGATGTCTGTATATAAATATGTAACATGTATATATATATATATATTGCTTATATGGCTATGACGGTTATGAATTTGATATTCTACAAGCACGAAGCATTGAGCTGGGTTGTGAAGGGGAACAAGAACAGATGCGTAGAGCAGCACCATCGCAGCAAACCATCCCAAATCTACCAAGGCTCCCCCTGTGTCGCTGTTCTTGGCTTCTCTCACTTCACCCTGAAAAAGGCTACCAGATTCCCATGCATCTCGCAACACCTGTGGCTCAATCTGACTTGTCCCTTGGGATTTGGCTGAAAGTCACTGAGGGTTTTGGTGCGGGCTTGTAGGGCATTCCAATCAATCTTGACTACCCCATTGGAAATCCTACAGTAGCTTGTATTGGATCTGTTCATGCCTTGGAGACCCGTAGTGGGGGGTATCGAATGTTAGGGAGCCTGCCTTCCACGTCTCCCTCAGAGCATCCGAAGATGGAAGTGTGTCATCACCCTTGCCTGACGCAATGTTGCAACGATCGTGAAGCCAACCGAATCCACATCGGCTTTGGGGACCTGTTCAAATATTCACACTGGCAATGGCAGCAATGTGCATTCAATGTGCTCGTTTCTGGACGCCGGATGCCTGGGATGGCCGACGTTGAAGCACTTCTGGGTCTGGAATAGGTTTCACCGGCACCTGCAGCGCGAAGCTCGTGGGTGGGTGCAACCCTGCCTACCCTGACTGTGCGATGTTCCAATGGCACTTCCACATGCTTCGTGTTTCGTCTCAATGTGCTTTGCATGCAAGGGTGTCTGTCATGTTTTCGTGCCGTTTTATCTTTGATCTTTTTCAGGGAGTGAATCAGATACAACATGATACAACCATACACAATCACATCAAACATCATCAAATGCTCTCTCACACCATGTGCATACACCTGTACTGGTCAGTCAATCTACTGGTGAACCCTGTCCCTTCACCGGTTTTCGCCCAGCCACTTGTGGCACCCAACTGATCCAGGCCAAAGGGTGAAGGACCCAACACCCTAGCAGGGCGTCCAATTTTGTCAGTGAAAATAACAACCGTTGTGAGTGTCCTGTACCCAGGCCTAAGACTTGAAATTGGAAACAAGTTGCATGATCAAAACAGGCGATCATCTTTGACGATCAGATGCCAAACCATGTGTGTGTTCACAAATGAATAAGAATATATATATATATATATAATATTATATATATATATAAGCCAACAAATGAGTACAAACATGGCAAACATACCAGCGAGATGCCTAATTTTTGCGTTTGCTTCCCCAACTTCCGGTTGCAGAATGATCTGAAAGGAAATAGATTCTTAGATCAGATATAGATTAGTAAGTTATAAAGTATCCCAAGGCAGCACAGATCAAACACATGTAGCCGCACAAGTTTCTCAGAAACTCTACGTAGCATCAGCAGGATGCAAAACCTCAGTTTTTCCTGGACTTCCTGGACGCACTATCTGAGATTACCCAATAGAAAACCAGAAATCAGGCTGAATTAGTCCAAATTTAGTCCAAATTTAGTTCAAATTTAGTTCAAATTTAGTTCAAATTTAGTCCAAATTTAGTCCAAAACATATCAAATTATGATAAATGTCTTGAGCTGTCAACCCCCGGCACCAACGCTGCGCGCCTGGAGTTGCCCTTCAAGGGCGAGAATTCACCTCTGAGGTGCCGTGCCTCGAACCTGGCAAGTTGGAAGCGGTTGAGCCACCCGAAACATCCGGAAACAATACTTGGAATATATATGGATGTCATATAAATACTCTAATATATATATATATAATTATAATTATATAATTATAATAATATTATAATTATATATATATAAAGACTCGGGGCACTTCACACCTTTTTTGACACAGCAAGACCTGTTTGGTCAAATTAACGTTTAACCCACTAGGGTTCACCAAGTCCAATTTCATGGACAGCAAAAAACACATCCCACAATTCCTCCAAATTTATTTCAGGTAACCACCTGACACTCCCCCCATAACCTCCTTGCCAGACCAAGGTAGGCATGAGCTAAAGAGTGGAAGGTAGACTGGGCCCCGCCAGACCGGGGAACAACCAGTAACCCTACCTTTTTTATCTCGCTGCCGAGATTTGTTGTTTTTGGAGTTTTTACTCCCCCAAAAAGGGTGGGAGGTTGTGGGAGCTGAGCCGAAACTTTACACGAAAAAGGAAGTTTCCATGCCCCTCTTCTTTAACTCCGAGGACGTTCATTCAAAGACTCGGGGCACTTCACACCTTTTTTGACACAGCAAGACCTGTTTGGTCAAATTAACGTTTAACCCACTAGGGTTCACCAAGTCCAATTTCATGGACAGCAAAAAACACATCCCACAATTCCTCCAAATTTATTTCAGGTAACCACCTGACACTCCCCCCATAACCTCCTTGCCAGACCAAGGTAGGCATGAGCTAAAGAGTGGAAGGTAGACTGGGCCCCGCCAGACCGGGGAACAACCAGTAACCCTACCTTTTTTATCTCGCTGCCGAGATTTGTTGTTTTTGGAGTTTTTACTCCCACGTCCCCCTGCCCTGCCACTGGTGGCATGCTCAAGTTGAGGCAAGGGAGACTGCTGAGAACGTAAAAATTGTCTGTGAAACACTCGGGCGTGAGGGGTGAGTTTCAATTCAGTTTCAGCCAAAGTGGCTATTCCGCTATTGATGTAGAGTCGAGCCGTCTTGGCTGACTGCCATCGGCCTTGTATGAGCAACCGATCTAGCTGCCCATGTCGTTGAAAATAAAACGTGGCGCCTCCTCGGCGGAGACTATAGGGTCGATACTGATATTCCGAGAGTCCCAGTGCAGAAATGGTATCATTAAACAATTTGCGCCACTTATGAGGAAGTGGACATAGGGGGGTTCCAGGGCTAGTGGCTTGTTTCCACTGCCACAATCGGCGAAGAGTGTCCTCTTCTGTGAGAGTCACACTCTCCGGTGCCCCGGCCCGTTTTCCCCCTTTTGTCAAACCCAAGGAAATAACAGCAACAGCATTGGGTCCGCTTTGTGAAATATCCTTGTTGCGGAGACCCAATAATTCTCCTGTACGAAGGAGACAATAAAAAGCAACCAACAAAGACAAACAAAAGGTTTGTTGACCGTGAAACAGGGCATATCCCGCGAGAGTCTGGAGCGCTTGTTCGGTGAGCGGTGGAGCCCGACAGGGTATTTCATTGGACATCCACGTTTTGAGAAGCCTCCAGCTACAAACGAGAAGACCCTTTAAATGGGGGTCACGATCCTGGAGCCCGGCCAGGGTGTCCGAAGCTAAACCTCGTCCTTCCCCTTCACTCCACAGAAACTCAAGGTACTCTGATACCAAGGGATCTAAATTCACACGTTGGCGTGGCAAGCTCAGATCATTCTCTCGCAGGTACTGATAAAACCGATCAATGGCTTTTTGATACCTCTGCTTGGTTTTTGGTTGAACGGTCAGTTCACGTAGGGGACCTAATTGGGCCCGGGTAGCTCGTCTTTCTTCCTTGCTTCTCCCCTCCAAGTGTTGTTTGGTTCTCCTTACCATTTCCGTCGGCGGCGCCCCCGAGAGGGAGCGTCGGCAGGATTCAAAGCGGTATGGACATAGGTCCACACCGCCGAGTTCTGTGATAGGAGAAGCAAGGAATTGATACGAGCTACCGTCCGACGTAGTTTTCTACTACTAGTACGCCCTCTAGTGAGGGTGTGGAGACACACCAAAGAGTCCGTCAAATGAACCATCCTTTGTTTGTTTCCCTTCATTTTGATGATGCGCCACTTGAGGGCGCACAAAATGGCTCTCATCTCCAAGTTGTTTATATGCTCCTTTGACCCACGCCAGGTCCATCCGCACACTGTCCTCCACACCCATAGATTTGACGGAATACTAGCTCTGAGCCGGTGATAACGCAGTGTGTTTTCCGTGGTAGATGACACCAGAATGTCTTCACCTTTAATACTGACCATGTTCAACAATTTCTTGACCAACGTGAGTTCCTTCCCATGTACAAGATGCTTGCGGGGGCCTGACATAGGAGGACGAGTAAGAAAGGTTGCCAGGTCATCGCTGCTACCAGGTGAGGTTCTGTCAATGCACTGTTGCACAGTAAGGGGTTCAATGAGGCCTAATACATGACAAAGTTGCCCCAACAGCCATGTAACCACCGTGACATTCCAGCTGTTGCCAAGCAGGGTGAGGCGTGTGTCCATATGAAGGACCGTATTCTGCTTGGCCTTTGGCAGACAATGGAGAGTGTACTGACGGGGGAACCCCAAGATCACCTCCCTCTCTTCCACATTGAGCAGCCTGGAAGCAGTGCCTCTAACCAGTTGGAAAGACCTCTGATATTGATATGGGGGGAACCGGAAATCGTCTTCCACCCATTGTTGTTTCTCTTCCTGGTTCAATTTCTCTACCCCCGCCGGACGCCGTCCAGGATGATCTCGTGGTCTAGATGTGGTAAACGTAGGAAAAGGCTCCTTGGAAGTTCTTGACCATCCCGCCGTCAAATACTTGGAGGGATCCAGGTCGCCGACTAAGTCTACCCGGCCACATCCTTGTGACTCAAGAGTGGTCGCTGGGTGTACACTAGCCCCATCTCCATTGTGTAAAACCCATGTGACCCAATAAAGTCGTGGACGGCGAGCCAAACTGACTCCACAGGCATCAATAGCCCAGGGGAGTTCACCAAATGATTCGCTCATAACCTGCCGGTCCTCCACATCCATGGATTGGACCGACTCCATAAGAGAGTGAACCTGAGCCCACGGGAAAGCAGCCTGGACCAAAGATCGGATCCTAGGAACATGACTGTGCAGCCTACTTCGATGATCCTTCAGTGCCCCACGACGGTCCACATTCAGACCGCTCACACCCTGGCAGGGAGGGCCTGCTCCCAACACCACCAGGCCCACCTGAGTGAACTGGCACGACCATTGTTTAACCATCTCTGCATTCACTTCTTCGACCTGCGACACAAACAGTGTTCCAGGAAACCTGGACTCCAAGACCCGAGAAGCTTCCGGGTTGACCTCCACACTGATGTGTCCTGCCACAGGCAAACCAGCGGCGTCTGCCGCCACTCTTAACGCTCCGATCCCATCAAAGAGGCCGATCGTCAGCACCTGAGTGAGATCTTCCATGGCGGGAATATCTCCCCGAACCTTGCAGCAGGCGGCCATCTGGCCCAAGTTGCTTAACCCTCTGCTAACTGTAACACCCCCTCCAGTTGTAGAGGCATCACTGGCAGTGACCAGTGCGCTTGGTTGCAACCTGAAATCCATTCTCGCAAGGGGGACAAGTGCAAGGAACCTGGAGATCTCTAACTTTACCAGCCTCGGGATTTCCAGTCGAATAACCGCCGGATATTTGTTGAACTCTTCAATGAATTCCCAGATGGAATTCAAACTGCCCATCAATGCTCTTCGGAAAGTGGCCACATACACCAATCCTCCCGCTACAACCTGCATTTCTTTCTGAGTACAACGATCAGCGACTACTGTCATCAACGCCAACTGAGCATACTTCAGAATCTTCTCGGGTTTTGGATAGGCACACCCTGATTCTCCATCAACTATAGCTCCCTGGACTTCCGCCCGTAAGCTACGCTGCACTGCTTTGCGAGGGTGCCTTGGGATCCCCCAGTGCTCGTACTCTTGCCGCAACGCTAGGATAGCCGGAGAGGCAGACCCTTTGATAACCTGCGCCAGGTTCTCATCCACTTTCTCCATCTCATCAAAATTATCCAAGTAAATCCTGTGCAACACCTCGGTGGAGGGGAAAGGCTTATCTTTCCTTAGCTCCTGATGAGCTTGGAGACGACCGGGGGTCCGTTTAGCCGCTCGCTGTGCAATGGTTCGATGGATGTGCTGCGCAATGCTAACACTATTTTTGAACCCCATGGGCAATACCTTTGCCACCAATACATGGCGCCCTTCTCGACCCGGATGGAACCGGGAAGATACAACCTTGTTGAACCCCAAAAACCGTTCCCAGGCCGATGGAACTCGGAAGATATAGAAGAAGCACTTAACATCTTCCGACGAAATCAGGAGATTCTCTGTTGGCATGAGATACAGAGGACCTGAAGAGGACCAGGCCGGCAATGTGGCGATGTCTCCTTGAATTCCCCGACAAATGTTGTTCAGGGGTATCAAATTCATTATTAACCGATGAACATCATATCCATTTGCCAGCTCCCCTTTTGAGACTCCAAAGAGTCCGCTCAGGAGCGGTTTACCTTTGACATGGTAAAGATCAGCCTCAGCCATAACGCCACAGATTCCTGCATCGATGAGTCCTTCGCACATTCGATCCCAGTCTTGCTCCACTACCATGACTCGCGGGGGCTTTGTATAGGTCATTGAACCCTCATCCAACAGAAAATCTTCAAACCTTTCCACATAATGTCGGCATCCAGCACCTACGACTTCACGTAGTGGCACTGAGCCCACTTCAGTTGGAATGGCCGATCGAATGTTATTCCAGGAGGTGAGGCGGGCTGTTGCCACCTCATCTCCCACATAATCGATACTTCGAAACTTGAAGAAGCTCTGCCAGGAGATTTCTCCGAATGTTTCGGTCCAATCTCCCATCTCTACCACCAACTGACTGATTCCTTCCAAATAGAACCGTTGAGTTTTCGACATTGGCCCCTCGGCCCAAGTAGAACACCCCGCATAGCTATTCAAGGCCATACAGATACACGACAAAACCCCCACCAACTCTCCCTCCAGACCACCTACCCCCTTCAATTGATCCGTGCCGGTGGGTAAGGGAAATACCTCACCCGTGGTCTTGGTCTCGCTGTGCCAGTGTGACTCAAATTTACTAACGCTATTCAGCAGGGATCTAATAAGGGGAAAGCAGCCGGGAACCGGGAACCAACCAAACCAGAAACTTCCTCAAATTCAACTATTCCCTGAACGCCCCGCAGCCCTTTTTTCAGACCACCTTCGCCGACAGTCAGCTCGTCCTCTCCTAGGAGGTAACTACGATTACCTCTACTGCAAGGGCTAGGAGAAGACTGCCTAGCTCTCACGCCAGTGCGGCATCCATCAACTGCTGCAGTCATCTCATCGGAAAATTGGCCGCTGGTGGCCTGAGAGACCTTTCCAGCACTGTGCTCATATTCACTCCCCTTTGGCCTTGAGCCAGGAGTCACAGCCTCCGCACCACGGCTTTCACCTGTAAAAGCGCCATGGATGCCAAGGCCCTTCCCAAAGCTGACAAAGGAGCTTCCTGGGGAACGCCATACGAAGTCTTGCTCTCTCCCCTCTCCCTTATATTTATTTAGGAGAGGAGACTCCACTTCATGCACATCCTCTACTCCCCTCCTAAGGAGTTCCTCTTTGCCAGCCTCTACTCCCTTATCTAGGAGTTTCTCTTGCCCTCGTCCTTGTCTCCTCCCTTTTTTCCTTTGCCACGATCCTTGCCCTTCGGCTCGCTCTTTCCTCCTACCCGCCACGATGGGTTGGAGTACTCTCCTTTTCCCTTGTCTTTTCCCTTTGCCATCTGCCTGGTTTTTAGCTCTTCTTTGTCTTCTTTTGCAGCTGCTTGGGCTTCTGCCCTGCTTGACAGCCGCCCTCGTTCCATCGGCACAACTTCGACTCGTTGTGCAACTGACCAGCTGGCGCCACTTGCTACCAGCTCCAAGCTCTTCAGGCGCTGACTCAAGGTATCCGTCGCTTGAGCCATCTTTCCTTGGAGCGCCAAGTCGATGGCCCATGACAATGTCAGGGCCTCCCTGGCAGCCCCGCCAGACAGGCGGTTGGCCAGCTGCGTCCGATAGTACTGCAGTGCAATCGGAGGAACGGAAGCTCGCTCCTGCGACCACACCGTCCCCGCCGACGTCAGCAACTGCCTTTGCATCTCCTTCACCGTTCCATACGTGAGGAGCCCTGGGGCCTTCCGGGCTATCGTCCTCACCTTTTGAGCTTCCTCGAAGATTTCTCCCGACTCGCTGCTGGCCAGGCTCGAGGCTTGAGATGCCTCTTCCTCCAAGGAGCTGCCTGAGCTCTCGGCACTGCTCCCCTTCTTCTTCTTGATCTTTTTCTTCAGCCGCTTCAACAGGCGCTTCCGCACCTTGGCATCCGGGTCGAGGCCTGTCGTCCCGTACACCGCGGCCAGCTCTTTCTGCGCTTGAACTTTCCGCTTCTGCCCTGCTACACCTCCCCTTTCCCCACTGTCTGAGGAGGAGGTCTGGTCTCTCCTGGCTTTTTTCTTTTTCTTTTTCTTCTTTTCTTTCACCTCTTCCTTCTCTGGAGGTGGTACTCGACCTTCTTCGGCCTCTCTTCTCAGACCTGCCATTTCGTCGACTGTTCCTTTCAAATTTTCTGCCCAGCCCTTCTCGTCCTCTCGGGCTTTCCTCCGGATCCTCTTCACGTGGATCAAGTCGCTGGCCTCTAGCTTGGCCTCGCATGTCTGCCCACACAGATGGGCACGAAGAGTCTTGCCTGGGTTTCCCGATGCCCACTTCAACAACTCCTCGTGGTCGGTACCCTCTGGGTTGAGCAGAATCTCCACGTCGGCGGCTCCTCGAATTTTCACTCCTTGGACGGTCCCGCATACCTTGCAGGCTGATCCCCAATACTCTCCCTCTAGGATCAGGAGAGCTCCCAAACTCAGATGCCTCACTGGGGCCAGGGAAGCCTCAATGAAATTGCCAGCCAAAAATTCCTTCTCAACGTCTTGATCCTTCTCCACTCCCCTTTCTCCCGGCTCTGAAGCTGCCGGCCTCCTCACTCCTCGCCGCCTTCCCACGACAGCCTTAGGAGCTGCTTTGCCCGCTCCCTTAGCAGCTGCTGGACGGCGCAACTTTGGGGCCATCAACGCCAGCCTCGGTTGTAGCTCCTCCACTCAGCTTGCTTCTTTCTTTTTGTAAGCCCTTTATTCTGTCCCCACCTCGGTGGAGATTCCTCAACGTACTCCCCGTACCTAGGAGTATAATTCCAGCTTTGAGCTGAATAGTTCCTGTACTCCCTGTCTCTAGGAGTGTAATATCTAGGAGTCTCGGCTCGCCCGTGCCACTCTGTCGGTGGGTGAGCAGGTTCTGGAGGCTTTCGACTCCCTCTAGCCAAAGATCTTCGCCTTGACCTCGAAGAAGAGCGCCGCCGATCCTCTGAACGCCTCCTCCTCTTTCTCGACCTTGATGAACTTTTCTTTTTTCTCTTGGTCGCCTTGTCTTTCTTGATATGGGCTTTTTCTTCTGATGCTGACTTTTCTCTCTCGTGGCAAGTTTCCTCTTTTGTCTTTTTCTTCTTGTCCTTCTTCTTTTTCTTTGCTGAGCTGGTTCCCTTCTCCTCCACGCTGGCTGGTACTGCTACCTCTTCCTCTTGAGGTTCTGTCTGGTCTCCTTCTGGGAGACTTGAAATAGTCCCAGGAGAGATAATGCACTCTCCCCTCTTCGATTCCTCTGCTGGCTCTGTCTTCACGGGGTGCTCCCCTTCTCCAGCTGGGCCCTCTGCCGCCGAGCTGGTGGCAACCACCGGCGAAACCGCCTTCGAAGTGGCAGCCGCTGCTGCCTGTCGCGCCTCCTCTCGGCGCCTGGCCTCTGCTTGGGCCACCTCCCACTTGAGGCTTTCTTCTTGAAGCAGCGAAACCCAGACTCTAGTCTGGTCCACCACCCAGCCCCGCAGTGCCGGGGCTACAGCGCGGGCCTCAGTGGCCAGTCGCCGCAACGAACGGCAGAGAGCGCAGCTGCCGTCGATCTCCGCGAAGCACTGATTGCACTCCGGGCACGTGATCATACAGCTGAGCCGAAACTTTACACGAAAAAGGAAGTTTCCATGCCCCTCTTCTTTAACTCCGAGGACGTTCATTCATATATGTGAGTGTTTGTTTGATCTTGTTTGATGATGCTTTCATGGAGTCAGAATAGCCAACTAGAATCGAATGGAATATCTTATAATGATCTTCCCAGTTGGGGACGGAAGGCGCTGTGTAGAAATGCGAGTTTGGGCTCCCGTTGGCCTCATCTGTCTTTCTTGCATTTTTTTCAGTTCCTTCTCTTGCGCCTTGGCGAATAGTTGGGACCGTCCGATGGACCCCTCCATTGTTTCTGGAGACATGCGGAGACCACATCTTGACTGCCATGGGTTCGAAAGAACAAAAAGCACCGCCACTCTCATCACTAATAGTCTTGGCAAGGCACTACTGAAAGGCGCACTGCAGCCCCACAATCCTGCTGATGCTTCGAGAAAGGCCATCAACATTTGAAAGCAGAGGCCGCAGTACGGACTGAAAATGGCATCCGGAATGACACACCATACAACTCATACAACATCACAAAGCAATGTGGGTGATTGATGGTAATCCGTTCTTTCCTGATTGGGTTGAGGAAACCTGCCAAGATGTGTGTGCCTCATACTGACTTAAGGAACGCCTGGGAAAAAACGCGCGCAAAGCACGGCCAAATTGATGGGATGGCTGTAACATGATCTAACCGACGTCAGGTGGCACCTTCTTCAAAACGCTCTCTACCGACTTGACCGCGTTCATGCAAGAAATCACGCGGTTGTCGCAAATGATTCGGGTGGAAAGCTTCGCTGCATCCAGAATGGCCCGAACTTGCGCGATTCGACTGCAATCCCCTGGGCCACAACGCAACAAAGGTTTCACACGCAAGGCACCATTCATCAAAACCATTTGCACTGACGTTGCCCTGTTCGAAACAAATAAAATCGACCAGGACACCTCCAAAGACCTCTTCAAGATGTCTCCGTCCCGGATCCGGTTCCCGCAACATGCCCAGCATGAAGTCCTGCGTGACATGGCTGTCAAGTGGATATTCCCATCAAAAATGGAAGTGTTAGTGAAAAATTGTGAAAAATCATCGGGCTAAATGCGGGTTTCAGGAAACAACAATCCAAATCTGCACGTGGTTTGAAAAAAACTTGAAAAAATGAGAGCTGTCAAAACCAAGCGCCCACTGCACACCACGGGATCGCATCAAAACAGTCCCGGGCAGACTCCAGACTCACGAGGAGATTGTGCTCAGGATTGGCCAGCCTCTGGAATAAGTGTTTGCGTTGAATGCGTTTGGTTGGTTGGCGTTTGGCATCCTGCAAACCAGAATTGTAAATTTCCTGCTGCCAAAATGCCGCGACCAAATCGTCTCAATTGGGGTTAAAATTAAATTCCTTTTTGGAATACTGGGATCTTCGATTGCTCGGGCCAGTCACACTACATCCATCAGTTCCCCCCAGGACATCATGGTTGTTTGTTAGATTAAAAAAATCTGCACCCTCGTAACCCCTTGGAATACCAAACCATATGGTATTTCTTGATGGATGTCCCATGACGTCCCATGATGTCCCATCATTATTGACCCATCCCCACATCTCCCACGGGTGCAAGGGACTTCACCGTGCTGCCTCTTGCTGCGTTAATTTGACGCCATGCCACCTGGTTTCTCCAAGGCAGTTTGCTGATCCCCTGCTACAAGTTTCAGTGAGATAAATGGTGCACTCGTACGATGCCACAAAGGCTTAAAACCTAAGAATGCCACAAAGGCTTAAAACCTAAGCATTGTGAAAAATCATCCAGCATTGCTAGTTTCATTGCACCCATGTAACCTTTGCAGAAAACATACTGTAGTCTTGCAGCCTGCCTTATGGTTTGTGCAAGTCTGGCGACCGCATGGAAGGAAACGAAAAGAACGGCGCAAACAATAAGACCTGATGCATTCGTTGGCCAATAATATAAAAGTTATCGTTTGCGCAGTCAACACGGCCTGCATCATGTTAAGAATGTTGTCCATCGCTGCTGCCGTCCTGCATGTGCATTGTGCACACCAACCGTATGAATGATGCAAATTTGAAATGCATAGAACCAACAACAACAACCAAGTGAGATTCAACATTCCAGACCGTACAAACAATTCGAGGAAATAACTATGCTGGCCCAACTGTTCAATCAAAAGCACCAACTGTCTATTACGTTTGTCTTCAATGTGTCCCCGGTGGATTTTCGAGACCATGCTCCCGTGGCAGGAATAAACTCAAACGGGGAGCTGCAGACCCACTGCCACGGCGCAAACTCCCCAGACCTCGCTGCAGTACTTTCACCACATGCCCCTACAAGCGAGTGGACCTTGAGCCACCTTGATGCCCCAAAAAATGCAACGTAGACGCAGTGGTGCAGGAATGTTAAAATTATTTAAAAATCTCTGGTTGACATGCGCGACCATCCAACGCTGGTCGGCTCCCGTCAAACCCACCATGGACAAATCTGTTGCCAAGGAACTGTTGGAACGTGCGCTGGCATTGCCGGGCCCAGATTGGCGAAGACTTTGCGCCATCACATGGTCCCTGCAACTTGCACAACCAGGATGTAGTCACGAGACCAGGCCGCCATTGCAACGGACTTCCCTTCTGGTCGATGCATTCGGTGTATTTTTTTCCGGACCCCTGCGCTGGATCATGGCGCTACACTGACGCGTTCAAAATGAAATTTGTGTTCGTGCAAGTTGCCGTCCATCTTGCCAGAAAAAACATGTGCAATCAACGGAACTTGTGTTTGCCATTGTTTGCCTGCGGCCCGTATGGTTATATGTTCGAAACTGCAACAAACAATTTCTTTTGAGACTCACCATACTTGCGGGTGTCGTGTTTGAGATACGTATACATACGGATGTGCAGTCATTTCCAAACCATTCCAACTTTGGGTTCGAATATAACGGTAACTACAATCATGCCATCGCCATTACTTCATGTTGACAAATACCTTCGGGAAATGATGGACATACGCAAGAATAGTGGACAACATAAATGCCACATTTCGTGTCGACAAAAAAAAGGGAACCTATGTCCAAGACCAGTTCCCCACGCATGACCACAATGGGCACACAATAGAGAGCAAGAACGCGAACCACAGAAAATCCACCTCCAGTTGGGATCGCGACAAAAATTTTATTCACCAAAATTGAACAAGTGAACCCTAACAAAATTGCCTTACCCTACCCCATCTTTTGTATGCAGACAATCTTTGCCATCGGTGGAAAGCAACGCGAACTCGCATACGCACTTACGCTATTTTGGGAAAACATGGGCCAACCAATATTTAAAGAGGCTCTTGCAAACGAGAGGAACTGGTAGCAGGAGTGTGCATCACTTACTTGTTGTTCGCCTGGGGCCTTAGCGACTTTCAGTGGCAAAAGGCTAATTGGTTTTGAAACTGGCATTTTGGATTGCGCCGGGGTGCTTGGAAGATCACGCTACGGAGCACAAACCATGGCTAGGTTCCAGGCATTTGGCCAACCTTAAACAGAACAAAGCGTAAAGATGTGCTTGTGACTCCTGGTGTAATTCCAGCCATAAAGCAAAGATACAACGGTGCGCGGTGACTCAATGGTCCACCCACTGCCTGCTTCTTGCCAAAAGTTTGGTTGAACCCAATGGTTGCCTCCGTGCATGCATTGGGCATGCACAAAGCGTCAGGTGCTTGCAGAGACGGATTTGCAAATGACCGGTCTCTGTTATGATTTTGTTGTGGTCCAGTGAACAACCCTAGCACCTATGACATAGAATGCTTGACTGACAGGTGGCACGCCCGTTCCTCAAGTTCATGTTCCCGCGTTTAGCGGTCTTTCCTGGAAGTCAGGTGGAATGAATTTGTGTCCACCTATCTGGTTTTGTCTGCTTCGCCGGCCTTTGGCCTTGGCGAGAGGTTCTGACGACCACCTGTGTCCGAACCAATTGGCGTGGAGACTTCTCCACAAAGTGGAATAAAGGATCAAAAACAAAAATTGTTTCAAAAAAAATCAAAATGGAAAACAAATTTGCGAAAATGCATGACAGTGCTTGACACAAGGTTGTATTTTAGCAATCAAAAATCGGAAATTTCAATGGAAAGTGTTTGCCTGAAACAATTTTTCTTTATTTGCAATGAACTCCCCCGTGGCCATTTTTTTGTCATAATTTCCGGTATCTCATCTGGAAGTATATATGATCGAATGGTCAAAGGGTACCATTTTATAGGCCTAAAATGGCTCGCCCAACCCCTGTCAGGACATGGCGCTCAATAAAATGATATTCTTGAGGGTAAAACAAAGAAAGCATCTACAGAATGGACTTCCCAACCACCTTCAACTGCCTCACGAATCAAAAGGTCAAACCTATAGAAATGGTGCCCTTGAGCAAATCACTTAGGGGCGTTTTTTGGCACCATTCCGACCATAAAATGATTCCCCTGACTCCAGATCCCCCTACTTTTCGGCAACTGTGCCCCATAGCCCCATGGCGAGTGTTTTTTCATGTTTTTTTTTCCACTTTTGGGCATGGTCAAGGTTCCATTTTATAGTGGCACCAGGGTGTTTGAAATTGTTTTGTTCTAGGGTTAGGGCGAGCCATTCAATAGATGTTCCTTTGCATGGATTTGCAGTGGTTTGACATAAGTTTATTCATTAGCCATTCCTTCCGCCAAATATAAAACACGTGTCTTAGATCTCGTCCGCGTGCCTGGCTTGAAGATACGGCCAGCGTGGGTGAGCCAGGGAGAATTGAAATACAGAATCGATTTGAATGGCTATCCTCAACCCTAAAATGGTTATATTATATTTCAGAAAAATATAAATAATCTGTATAGAACGGCACCTTACCAAACCAGGTCTGCCGAGAACTCTGCTTCCTTATTTGGAAATTTGGGCGACAAAAGAGAACGGCACCAAACAAGACTTTTGGAGTGGTTCTCAGGGGCCATTTCCTTCCACAAAAGACGGCAAAATTCAAAACCGCTTTACTCCCCCGGATGCCATGGCAATTTTCAAAGCCACAGGCATGTCCTGTCTCCAGTCCAGGAGAGTACCATGGGTGACACTTGAGTCGCTAATATCGACGTGATCTCTGAAAGTTGTCGCTTTGCGAGCATCTTCTAAGGCTTCTGGGTATCCTGAGTCCAACAATGCCAGGTAAGTTTCTACCTGAAATACGAACTTCTCCCAGTGATCCCGACCCTTTAAAGATTGAGGTTGCTTCACTGCCTTGAGCACGTCGATGTGACTTACCGCTCTATCACTCCCGGCTGGCTTTGCATCGGAAGACCGGAGGCGACGGCGGCGTTGCCTATCTGCGCTAAGGATTGCTGCAATTGAATCGTTACGCTGCATAGGCGCTGTTCCAGCTGATCTCTTTACTTGCTGTAGCCTCGCATTCACCAGAGTCTGGCTCTCTCTTGCGCAGTAGTTAACGCGGTCACTTGAGCCACTAGGGCTTCGATCTGGTGCTGCATCTGGGCCTGGTCGCTTGGCTCAAAGCCCCTTTGATCTTCTCACACTGTCTCTCCGCCTTTCCAACTCGCTTTTCACCGGTTGAGATCCAGCAGTGCCCATTGAGATCGGGAGTTCGCAGTTGAAGTCCCACTGAGATCTGGAGCTGGAAGGAGGAGGGGGCGGAAGGAGAAGGAAGGGTGCAGAAAATCCGGCTTAATATCGCAATGCGCAAGGTTGTTCTTGTGGACATGCATCGCCGCCGCGGCTGCACACCTGAGAGGGCAACATTTCAAAAAGCATTCACTAGAAATTCCAAACCCTATTGGGCGCGGAGGGGCGACAAAAAAGAACAGGGCCAGCAATGTTTCCTAGTGACAGGGTAACGCCAGCAGCCATCAAAATGCACAGGGGTCCCTCTTTGCACGGCCCTGCCTGAAGGACACGCGCAGCCATTCATCGCCAATGAGACCGTTGTGGCATGCTTCCTGCAAGGATATCCCCAGAAGCTCCATCGCAAAAGCAGGTTTGGGTTCGGGCGCAACCCAAAACACTTCTGCCACAAAGGGGTGCCTGCACTGCCGCATCACTTCGGCTTCCTTAAATAATTCCTTGATTTCTTCCTCAGCTGCTGGGCAGTGAGTGCTGTCCTTCATTCTCTTCAGGGCCACAAACTTGTGGCAACCCTGATAAAATCTAGGGACCCTCACCTGGCAGGTGGGGAAAAAACGACAACAATTTTAATGGAAATGCCTGACACAAGTGCTGTTGTGCAAAGCATATAATATACCAAAAAAAATCGATGGAACATGCCTGACACAAGGTCAAACAGGCCTGGAATAAAAATCCACAAAAATAGCCACCCGGGGTCAACAAAAGAACATGTACATCCTCAACATTGGATTTGGACATCCCTAGTTCTCCACCGTTTTTCCCTGCACCAAGTTACATATGACACCCACTTACAAATGAAGAACTGGTCATGCATTTGACAAAGTCCCGGGTCAACTGTGCAATTTAGATGTGTTTACTGGCGGGGCGTGTTTACCTGATATCTACATCAGCCAACTCCCGAACCAAGCGGTCATCGTTCGAAAAAAATATGTTTACTTACCTGGAGACAAATTATCTGCATACTGCATGGTTGCATCATGCTGCACAATATCTATGTCCAGTGGATCTTGGGTCATCTGGTTGTAGTCGATCTTAAATTTGGGGGGAACATGTTCAACATGGCGGCCACTCAGGCCTCGGGCAGACGAAGTCCAGCACGTTGTTATTTCAAACATTATCTCTTTCCCAAGGTTCGAATAAGTCTGTTTTCGCAAGGACAAATCAAGCCTTCTGCGGGCCCAATGTTCAATGGTTCTTTGTTTTTTTCGTCTGCTCTGCCTTGCGGACTAGCCTTATTAGAGTCTTGGAGGTTCAACCTGGCTCTGTGGTGCAAATGCAAATCAAACAAGAAAAACGAGTTTTCCATATCATTGATGATGACTCAAGGTCGTACCAGCACACAAAACAGTTCCGAAATTGTTTTGAAAACGTGCTGCCTCTTCCGAAGCCTTCTAAAGAACTAGACGACGGATGGCCCGAGAGCGTAGAGGAGCAGGGTCTTCTCTTGTTAGTATGGAGACACCATATTACAAAACAATATATTAAAGATGTATAAAGATGTGTTATAGGCAGTCGAGAAGAGGAGTATCAAGACAATACAGCACAAGTACAAGACAATAGTTTGCATCGCAAACACTTTTACACACAGAAGCTTTTACACAGAGCAAGGTTTTACACAGAGAACCCCTTACACAGAGAAGCTTTTACACACAGAAGCTTTTACACACAGACACCTTTACACACAGACATACACAGACGCTTTTACACACAAGGCACTTTTACACTTTTACACACAGACGCTTTTACACACAGACGCTTTTACACACAGACGCTTTTACACACAGACCCTTCGCTTTTACACAAAGAAGCTTTTACGCCAGACGCTTTTACACACAGACGTTTTTACACACAGACGCTTTTACACATAGACGCTTTTACACACAAACGCTTTTACACACAAACACTTTTACACACAGACAATATTGCACACAAAAGCTGTTACACACAGACGCTTTTACACACAGACGCTTTTACACACAGACCATCACAGACCCTTTTACACACAGA